ACCTCAAACTCCTGGGCTCAAGTGATCCTCCTGCCTCAGCCTCCCCAGTAGCTGGGACTACAGGTGCGAGCCACCACACCCAGCTAATTTTTTGTTGACTGGCTAATTATTTTTCTATTTTTTTTAGTAGAGACTGGGGTCTCGCTCTTGCGCAGGCTGGTCTCAAACTCCTGATCTCAAGAGATCCTCCCACCTCGGCCTCCCAGAGTGTTAGGATTACAGGCGTGAGCCACCATGCCTGGCTGAGGACCTTGTTTAGATCTCAATTCAAACAAACCAATAATAAAAAATCATTTTTAAGACCATGTAGGATAATGATATGGTTATATTTTTTTAAAGTTTTTTTTCTGTTAGACATATATACTACATTTAAAGGTAAACTGATGTAATGTCTAAGATTTGCTTTAAGATACTCCAGCAGAAAAATAAGCCAGTAAAGAAAAAAGACAAAGCAAAAAAGAGGGGAGAGATGAGGAAGTTGGAGACTGGAAGCTGCAGGATGGGTATGTATATGGGAGTTTAATACACTATTTTATTTCGGTTAGTGTCTGAAATTTTCCAAAGAAAAAGGTAAAAAAACAAAACCAAACAGAAAAACCTACAGAATACACAGGTAAGATGTTTGAAATAGAGATTTTGAAAGTGGTACAAATAATGGTGTTGAAAATAAGTACAACGATTAACCATAGGCTTGAAAATATGGGAAACAACCGAGGTATGCACAGAAGAATTTTAAGCCTGGCTGTTTGGAATGTGACATAATACCTTGCTAATATCTTTTTCTTTATTACTTGTCTCCCCCTACACCAAAGAAAACCAAGTGCTTTTGTGTTATGCTAATAGAAAGTACTCAGTAAATATTAATTTCCCCTTAGAAAAATAATGGAAAATAAAAATAAATTTTAAAAACTGTATGTCTTTACCCCTCCCAAGGAAGCAAAAACTGTCTACCCCAGCTCTGCTAAGCCTAGCTTAGCTTCCAAAACCCAAAATTACCAACCCTTTCTCTACCTTAGAGAGACTATGAGTCATCACAAAACACGAGCATGTGCCTGAGGCTCCAGAAAGGAGAAAGTAAGCGAAAAAGATCAGAAAGCTACTGCCTTCGTACAGGCCTATTAAGAATCACCAGTATTTTGTGTTTAATGATCTTTGCTTTATAAATTACTTCTGAATCTGGCATAGTGAGTCTTCCCATTCCATTTTCCAAACTATTCCTAACTCTTTATGCCTGTGTGTTTTTCAGAGGTACTCAGGCATTATCCTGAAAAATGAGAGTTTGGGGGACCTGGAGAGAGAATGAGCCAGGTGGGCTGGGGGGCCTGGCTGGGGACTCAGCTCCTCACTTGGTTTGTTCTCCTTGCCCTTGGAGGTGATGGTGAGGGTGTGCACATACAGCCGCAGATACCAGGGCACGGAGTCCAGTAGCAGCACGGGGAAGGCCCGGTAGGGGTGGGTGTTGTACAGCAGCGTGCTCAGCTCCCCCTTCTGCAGCCCGTAGCCGCTCACGTAGCGCTGGGCGTGCAGGAAGGGCACCAGAGGGGCCTCTATGTAAAGAAAAGTCAGCAGTTAGCTGCTGCTAAAGGAAAGGGTTTAAAAGCCAACTCCCTGGCCCATGTTCAGCGTCCCAAGCCCTTGAGTAGAGAGGAAAAGTCCTGCCATTCATCAGGACTGGGCAACCTGGGCTCTGGAATCGTCCCTGTCTTTGCCAGCCCACAAATGACAATGATAGTAGGATTACTATTATTTACTAAGTGCTTATGTGCCCAACACTATGCCCTCTCCCAACTCAAACCAGGAGCTCTTAGGACATTCTGCCCTTTCCCTTGGTAACATTGAACATAATCGTAATTAATTAATTGATACCTGCCTCAACTAGCAGACACTACAGTTCTTGAATGCAGCGTCCTCTGTCTTATTCACCACTCTACGCCTAGCACATAGTACCAATTCAAAAATATTTGATGGATGAAGTAAATGCATGAACAAATTCCATTTCTTGCATCAATTACCTCATCCAGAGATATTACTGTCCCTGTTTTTCAGATGTAGACACTAGGCTCAGAGGGGTTAGGAACCTGCCCAAGGTCACAGAGCTTAGAAGAGGTGGAGTCAGAACCAGGAGCACATGACTCCAGAGATCTGGCTCGCAACACAACCCTATGATCGTACAGCAAAGATGTAGGATCGTGAGTCTTCTCCCAAGAGGAGAAATCTCAGCAGCCCGTTGTGACCCTGGCAGCCTGCCCACCAACCCACTCATCACACCCACCATTCTCTGGCGGTTTCTTCCACTTGAGCTGGAGGTTGAGGTTGCGGGAGTTGTTGATCATGGCCCTGTCAAGCAAGTCATAGACGGCATAGGTCCTCCGAGTGCCCAGGATGACATCCTGGTATGTAGTGGTGGGGGGTGGGTTCACCTCCAATGTCTCATTGTCCTGGGGACACAGGGCAGGGCTGAGAAGCAAGCAGAGGGGCAGGCCGGCCTTGGGGAAGAGGGGGGTGCATGTGTGGCTGGAGACCTTGGTACCTGGCTGTAGTTGGTGATGTCCACATAGACTCGGCTCTCTGACGCCAGAGGGCAGGGCTCTGTGAGGGTCCGGGAGAACATTCGGAAGAGGGACCAGTCTGAGGAGCAGAGAGCAGGGGCTGGGGCTAGGCCTGATCCACACAGACAGGGAGGGGTGGGGCAGGTGAGTGGAGATGGGTTGCCAAGGCAGCTTACCTTTCTTGCCCTGCCCCGTGATGAAGGCATCGAATACAACCGAAAGGGTCTGCCTCAGCTCCCAGGAGATGCTGGTACAGCGTGTGTTCTACCACAAAGGCCAGAAGGCAGCAGTGAGGAGCATCACTCTCACCAACCACACAGCCTCAAGGACTCCCACCTGGATGCAATCCTCACCTATCAATCTTCACACCCATCGATTTGTTACCACTTACTACTGAGCACTTGACCCCGTGCCATGCTCCGTGTCAACCACTTTTTGTACATCAGTTTGATAAATCATCACGACAGCCTTAGGAGCTGACTCTCTATTATTATTCTCATGTGACAGATGAGGAAACCAGGCTCAGAGAAATAAAATGATTCACTCAAGGTCATGCCAGCTAGCAACTGACTGAGCTAGCAGTTGCACCCGCACAGCTATTGTTCTTAACCCCTCTGCTCCATGACAAAGATTTACTGAGTACTGGCCAGGCAGCCACTCAGATTCCTTGGTGTTTGGCCAATGCCTTGAATCATCATCATCTACCACTTACTACTCACTCAGCCCGAGCCAGACACTGGGCTACGAGCTTTACCTGCACCTTCTCTCTGAGCCGCCAGATTGCACCTACCTCTACTCCCTGTGACTTACTCTGCAAACAGGGCGGATATGCACTGCCTGTGAATGGTAGCTGGTGTGGAACAAGCGATCCGCCTTCAGCAGCACAGAGAGGCCTGCCTGGAGGAGGTGGGGAGAGATGACAGGTCGGCACCCTGCGTAAAGCACCTGGCATGGGGCACGGGGTCTCTGTAAATGCATCCTGGCTGCCAGGCTGCGTGGCCTCACCTTGGAACTACAGGGCAAGAGCTTCTTCCACGGGGTGAGGTTCTCGGTGCAGACAACCTCCCTCGGCAGCACAGCATAGCGCAGGAAGTAGTGATCAGTGTCTGAGGGAGACAGAGGTCTGCCTGTGGTGGGCCTTGGGGCCCCACCCTTCAGGACACACACTCCAGAGACAGGGGACAACCTGCACCACTCCCTAGCACCACTGCCCAGACACTCCAAGGTGGGGGTGGGGCTCCCTCCTCCCCGTGGGAGAAGGCAATGCAGAGAAAGCACAGTCTTGGGAAGCCTTTTTTTGAGGCCTGCACACCCAGGGGATTTAGGATCTAGCCCAGGCCGAGGAGGAAGGAAACTGAGGGGAAAAGGAGACAAGGGGCTATCTCACCATTGGCCAGCCCCAGGGGTTTGAAGGAGGCAGTGGGAGTGACCGTGTTGGTGGAATCGATGAAGTTGAGAGAGGCACAGAAGATCCCTGAGAGGACATTACTGAGCTCCTTCCAAGATTTATCCACACTGGATGGAGACAAAAACCACTCACTGTCCTGAGACCGCCTCCGTTTCCTCCCTCAAAGCCCACAGCTGACCGCCAAACCCAGGAGGCTGTATTCTTAACCTTAGACAGGGCAGCTGATGGCTGGAACATCACTGCTCCCATTCACCCCATTTCCTGGGTCTCACCTATGCAGCCCCTTCTTCCTCACTCTCCTCCAGACATCCCTGCGTCCCCATGAGTCTTCTTGGCTCAGGTGATTCTTCCTGCCTGGCAAAGCTCTGCTCATTCCTCTCTTCCCACCTTCAAGGTCCAGCTCCAGTCCCTGCCTGCTCTTCTGGGAAGCCTTTCCTGCCCTCCTTGTGCACAGCCTCCTCTGTGCTGCTGTGGTTCTGACCATCCAAGCCACTCATTAGGTCTGTCCTGGGAGATTGCTAGGTGGCGGCAGCATCTTGTCCTAAGCACCTTTTCCCCCTAACTAGGCAACTTAAGGACAAGGACTAGTCTGAGTCATTTATGTACTTCTCACAACACTATGGAAAGTGCCCCATACCCTGGAGCTGGGATGAGCTCACTGATCTTCCCTGAGTTGCTCAGCTGGGCAAAGCAACACACACTGCCCCATGAATACCCTGGATGTGAACCTAAATCCTGGTTCTACGGTGGGAAGTCTTATAACCAAAAAAAGCTCACTGAAAGAGGGAAAAACAACTATTCTAGGACTTCACAAAAAATATCAAATTAAATTAGATGTTCATGTCTCAGAGAAATATCAAATAGATTTGCTCTCTATATTAATAACAGGAAGCATAAAACTTAATAAGCACTAGAACTGAATGCCACTCAGTGGTAATATCATTTTTCTTACAATGCTCTACCCCCTGTGGAATCGCTGCCTACTGAAACTGCTGCCCACAAGGGCAGTGGCAAGTTGACTACACCTTCCCCTGCCACACTCCCTCCATAGTTGGAACAAGACCCAAGATGGGCACTCACTCAGTGACAGTGTTTTGGAACCAGACCCAGAGCTCTGCACCTGATGGGGCCTGCAGGAAGGGAGGCCCCCAGTAACGGGTCCTCCAAAAGCCTTGTGTGAATGACAGGTGCAGCTCCCGTAGAGAATACTTGGAGATCAATTGGCCCAGAGCTTTGGGGAAGAGCCTGTAATGAGACACTGGAGAAGAGGGAGCAGGTGAGTGATGATCCACACCTCACTGGGACCCATTCCCAGGGTCCAGAACTCCACCCGGGGATCAGGCCCCGCCCCAAGGCTTGCCTCCACCCTACCCTCAGCAGGTGCCACAGAAATCTTTCTCCCGTGAGATCTCCCCCTCTGACCTCCTTTGCGCTGCAGCTCCGAATCCCAGCGTGTGCGGAACTGGAATGTAGCGGCTACGTCCCCCGAAGGCAGCGGGGTGATGACAAGCTCTTCTCGCAGGCTGTCGCGTGGGGGTTCTGCAAGGGCCGGGCCGCCAGGGCCCAGGAGCAGCAGCACCACCAGAGCGAGCGGCATGGCCGCCGCCATGCCTGCGGCTGCTTCCGCGCCCCCAGCGGCGCCCGCCCCCATGAGAGGCCGGCATCCAATAGGAAGGGCGTATGAGAAATGACTTCCGATAACGTCCCGGAAACCGGGGTGCGGTTATCAGAGCCACTGTCTGCTCTGGCCGTGTATATTCCACAGGGCTGGTGGGTCTAAGTGGGCACTGAGAGGACACCAAAGGGAGTGGGCGTGTGGCAGGTCGAGGGGCTGCCTTGAGGACTCACCCAGTTCAAGGCGATTCCACCCACCAGAAAGTGCTTAATAATACGGAGCGCGGCCACTGCCATTTACCCATTTGATAGTTGAGGAAACAGAGACTGAGGTCAGTTACTTTTGCGAAGTCACACAGCGGGGCTCATGCCTCCCTTAGCTTCTGGTGTCTCCATATGCTTGGTCCTTAGCCTATCCAGTTCCTCTTAGTGGCAGGGCTTTCCTGCAAAACCTTCAAACAACTGGCCCATTTATCATGAAAATTTTCAAACATACATTAAAATTGAAAAAATGATCACCTGTTTCCCAGTCACCTAGATTCTACCATTAACATTTTACTATACTTGAGCTTTATCACATACTGCCTATACAACCATCAATCCATCTTATGTGTTGATGCACTTCAAAGTAAATTGCAGATGTAGTTTGTACACTTCTAAATAGTTCAGCATGTATATCGTTAGAGTTCGATGTTTGTTTACCTTTTATGTAAAATTCACATACAGTGAAATGCACAAATCTGAAATGCACATTCGCTATGTCTTGACAAATGCACACAACCCATGTGACCCAAACTCCTCTCACAATACCAATACATAACATTCCTAAAGCCCCAGAAAGTTGGCTAATAACTCTGCCCAGTCAATCCCTGCTCCCACACCACCTTCCAGAGGCAGCCACTCTTCTTTCTTTCGCAATAGATTAATCTGTTTTTAGAAATAAATATAAATGAAATCATTACATGCATATTTTTTGTGTAAAGCTTCTTCACAGGAAGAATGTTTTTGAGAATCATCCACATTCTTGCATGTATTGGCAATTTTTTCTTTTTATTACTGTGTAGTGTTGTATGAATATACCCTAGTTTATCCATTCTCCTGTTGATCTTTAAAGTGTTTGGTTATTATGAACAAGGCTGCTGTCTGCACAAATTACTTTTAAGACATACTTACTGTATCCCTTGGGCAAATATTTAGGAGTAGAACTGCTGGGTCAAAGAATAGGTGTATGTTTAATTTTGTAAGAAACTGTCACACATTTCTCCAAAATGTATCATTTTGTGCTTCCACCAACAATGTGTGAGAATTCCGTTGCTCCATATCCTGGTCAACATTCGGTGTTTTTAATTTTTTTGGACTTTTTAGTTTTAACGCTTGGGTGTGTATGTAGTGGTGTCTCATGGTTTTAATTTGCTTTTCCCTGGTAACTAACAATATTAAGCATCTGTTCATGTGCTCATTGGCCATTCATACATTTTTTGTGAAAAGTCTGTTAAAATCTTTTGTGCCCCCCCCTTTTTAACTGGCTTGTTTGCCCTTTTATGATTAAGTTGTAGGAGTTCCAATGTTAAATTTATGCTCTGGTTTTTCCACCTGCCCTATGGGCAACACATTCACGAAGGATTTCATGAACAGTCTCTTGGTAAAATAACCATACTTCTATGAAGAGCCAAATTTGGTGTCAGGCAGGTCTGCCGAGATAATACTCCAACCAACCAGAAGGGAAATGTCAAAAAGATGTCTTTATTTCATTTTTCTCACTCTACCTAAATACAGTGTTCCTGCCTCATTAGACATGGAATAGTAGGAAGGCCATGAGCTTAGAAGTCAGAAGGACATGGGTTCAAATCCCTGTGCCAGCATTTAAGCCATATGAACTTGAGCAATCCAAGTGCCACTTTTCCTCATCTGTAAAATGGAGAAACCTATTTTCAGGGTTGTTGTTAAGACTAGAAATTATGTACATGTAGGATCTGGAATGTAGTAAGTGCTAAATAATAACATTTACTCAAACAACCCCATCATGTTGTACTATTATGTCCAGTTTACAGAGGAGGAAACTGAAGTACAGGAACTGAGATAATTTCCTAAGATCACAGTACACTATTGACCTCAAAATAATTTTTTAAAAGGTAGAGCTTCCATCATTATGATTATGATTTTGTACTTCTATGCTTTGCTTTTCAATTGCTTGTCCATCAGTTAAGACCCAGCCACCTTCAGTGAAGACTTCCTTTCTCCCTCTTTAGGAAGCTACAGTCCTTTGTGTACTTCTACTCCAGCTCTCATCACATTATACTTCCATTACCTGTGGCTATGTCCGCTCCTGGAAGAGCTCTTGGTCACCTTAGTATTTCTGTTGCCTAAGCAAGGTGGCTAGCGCGTAAGTAGGTGCTCAGTAGTGTTTGAATGTATGAACAAACAAACATCATAGCACAGTTCTATATTGTCCCCATGCTGCCAGGCTGTTCAGTGTCAAGTTCTGTACATTCCTGGGGATGCTACAGTGTGAGCCTTCCAGGAACTCTTCTCCTGAGCTGTGGTCCTTCCTATTTCTTCCACAGCATACGGTTCTACCAGGATGGATTTATCTTCTCCCCTCCTCGCCAGAGTCGTCAGGATGTCCACCCTATGACAAGTCCGTGCAATAGCCAGAAGCCACACTGTGGCCTGTAGACGGAAAGCTGGGCTCCTTGACTCAGACTTGGCTCCAAATCATCCTCTCATCTCCAAGGGGATTGTGTGGCCTCAAAAAACAGACAGCTAGACTCTGGGCCGGCATAAACCATGGTTTAATTTTAATGTGACACTGTAATCAAATGGTGAATCCTGAAGATACTCAGATTATCTTTTATACAAAGTGACCATACTGGATATACTGTTTTGTAATCTACTTTTTTTCTCAATAATTATCATATCTTTCCATGAAAAAAAGGTATGTGGTAGATAGATGATACAATATTGGAATTGTTTGATAATTTTTGAAGCTGTATGATGGGCACAAGGGATATTTTTCTTTCTATATTTGTTTTATGTTTGAAACCCTCATAGTAAAAAGCTTTTTACAAACAAAAAACACCAAAAAATTGTCAGCTGGAGATGGTGGCTCTGAAGGCCAGCCAAGCCCCTGTGGTTTGGCAGGAGAAAAGGTCATTGTCCCAACCAGGAAGTGGTCCCGGGGTCTCAGCTGATCCTAGACTTTTCCAGGCAGGGCTGGGGCTCATAGCAGCCAAACTGAAGGCTTCCCATAGGCTCACAAACAATTCTACTTCTTGAGAAGGCTGTAAATCCCTCTCCCCAGGCAGGCTCCCCACAATCTTAGCATTGTGTGCCTGGGGTACTAAGAGATTTATTGACATGTTGACACCAAGCCAGTCTAGTTTCCCATCATTCACTCTGGAAGGAAGTGGGGAGATTTCGGGAGTTCAGAAGCGCTGCATAGCAAAGCTGTTGGGGTCGTGGGCCACTGCCTAAGAGGAGACTCAGCCATGGTCAGACAGGAGGTGGAGCCTTGCTACTCTAAAGGAATGGGAGAAGGCACAAGAGGACAGAGATCATGTCTTCTGTGTGCAGCAAAGTCATAAGCAACCCAGAAAACCCCCAAAGGTTAACATAAGATTGGGCCCTGGCCCAGCTTAGTGGATGACTTCAACTTGGACGCAGGGCTTTTGGACAAAAGGTATTCACTCCACAAGCTTCCTGGAGACAGGGAAAGACTAATGGATACTCCTACTTCCCTGGAGCTCCCAAAGTTTCTCACTAGCCTTAGGAAAAGCACTTAGGAACAGTTTAGGACTTAGGCTTAAGGTCACTGATCCCATGGGTGGTATATGATGTGTGAAGGGAGGTAGAATGATTTTTTTTTTAAATGTGAGAAATGAGTAGATGTTCCTTTCATTCAACATTCTCTCCCGTGGCAAGCTCATTTACATCCACGGCTTCACTTACCACCTATAATCTATACATTGATAATTCATTTCTTTTTCCAGTCCAATCCTCTCATCTAAATTCCACACTCATAGGTCCAAGTGCCTACTCAACATGTCCTCTTGGATGTCTCAAAGGCACTTCAGACTCAACATGTACGTACAAGAACAGTGTCTCTGTAAGAAAAATAAATAAATAAATAAACCAAAACCAAATTTATGTCTTCCTTCCCAAACCTGGTTCTCTCGAAAACTCCCCATCTGGGTGAAGAGCCCTCCAAATCACCCTGCTGCAAGAGGCAGAAGCAACGGGGCAGCACCCTCGATTCCTTCCTCTAACACTCACCCATTAAATCTTTTGGAACTTGCCTCCTAAATCCCTCTTCATTCCTTCCACGGTTCTCCATCCCTCTACCTCCACCCTCATCCATTATTTCTTATCTAGATGGCTGCAATCAACCTCTGTTTTCCATGAATTGCTCTGGTCCCTTCAATCAGGACTCCACGAGAAGCCCTTCCAGTCATTCTTCCCCTAGTTTACTCCCACTCGTCACTAGGATCTTAGCTCAGATGCCACTTCCTCCAGGGAAACACCCCCGTGACCCCTCCAAATAGACTAATTCCTTCTTGGCACTAGTCATAATTGCAATTTTACATCTGGGCTCCCACTAGACTGTACATTCCATGAGAAGAGGGACTGTTCTTTGCTGCTACTACATCTACAAGGCCATGCTCAGAGTCTTGCACATGTTAAATACCTACATTTAACATTTATTCAATGAATAATGTCATTTATCAGTTTATACTCTGCCTTGACTCAATTAAGCCAATCACCACTACTGTCTTGTAGGCCACCATTATCTCTTGCATGGATTACTGTGTTATTTATCTGTCTTGAGCTGATCCTCTTCCAGCATATTCTCTACACAGCAGCCATAATTAGCTTTTTAACAAGCAAATCCAACCACTTGTAATCCTTCATTACTCCCAATAAATTCAAACTCTTTAACGTGGCCTCTAACACGTAAACTGGTAATTACCTACCCAATGACTACTGTTCTCTTGTTCCTTAATATTACAAAACCTTGAATCTAACAAGACAGCAATGTGCCCTTCTAAATGACTATCCCAGTCGCCCCAGTCGCGAGGGTGCTTCTGAGAGGTCTGACAGGTATTCAGAAATCAGATGCATTGATAATTCAGTGACTTGAAAAGGTTCTGGTCTTTCCAAAGGCCAGAATTTCCTTTCTTCTAAATAATGCTGTCTCCCTATGTCTATAAAAGGTCTACAAATGAAACATTTCCAATGCTACCAAGTTCTGGCCAATGAGATGAAAGTGGATGCTATTAATTAGAACTTCCAAAAATGCTTCTGAAAGTGGGGACATCTGGCTGTGCCCTCTTTGCCCATCCCCCACTTGCTTTCTGCCAGTTTCAAGGTCATGATGGCTGAGGATCTGACAACCACCATAGACATGAAGTATCAAAAAGAACACAAGCCATGTGCAAAACGAGCCACAAAGGAGCCCGGTGCTCAGTAACTATGGAGCTTGCATATAGCCTGTACTTTGGGTTTCTTTTATATGAGGAAATAAATTTACATCTTAAGTCATGATCTTTTACTAGCAGTCAAACTGAAATCTGATCCAGGCTTCAAAGCATTTTCACAACCTGAGCTTTGTCAGTCTTACCCCTGCATCTCCTCCTCAAATCCAACAATTCAACCAAACAGTGTTTTTCAGTTCCTCGAGACTACATTCTCTCCATTTAAGGTCTCCACAAGCTGCTCCTTCTGTCTGGATTATGGCTCCCCGCCGGGCTAACTCCTAATCATCCTTCAGCTTGAAAATCAGCTTTCCAATGACCAAACAAGCTGGGTTAAGATGCCCCTATTTTCCAATACAGAAGTAGTTAGTTCCTCCTCACACTACTTACACTGTGAATGGTGGTATTTACTTGATTTTCTCCTCCAAGACAGTAGACTCCACGAAGGCAGGAGTCTGTATCAGCCTGTCTTGTTTAAAACTGCATTCCAAATGCCTAGCACAGATGTTCAGGAAATATTTCTGCAATAATGGAGTGAATGAATGAGTGATGAGGACATGGTGTTGGTTAGAGAGCTAAAGGCTCTGCGATGTGAAAAATGAAATGGAATGGTTGGTATATTATTATTTGTTTATTATTTATTCCGTGCTCTGTTCCAAAAAGGTTGTAAAGGAGGCAGGATGGCTGGAGTACCACCTCACTCGACGTGTGAAGGAGTTCACGTCCACCTAGAGACACTGGTTTAGGAGACTCTATTAGAAGACTACAGGATAGTTCAGGGGAGGGAGGAGTGCTAAGAAAAGCAGTGGCATCTTGTCCTACCTCATCTCCCATCGCCTTACTTGCAAGCCCTACCTCAGGAGTAAGCCAAAAACTAGCGCAAGGGTTGCAGCAGGAAAAGGTTAGCAGTAAAGCAGGAAAGGGTTAATTCTCAGAGAGAGACACAATCCGGCCATCCTTCCCTCCCCTCTGGTGCCTACTGTAAGTAAAGAGTCTGGTCTGCTCCTGAAGAAGAAAATTCTTCTCCTTCAGCCTCATGTGGAGATTAGCCCGCTTGGTCAGTCTGTAGGGAGGGGCCCACTGCTAGCTGCAAGCCCCAGGCTCTGCCTCTGCATCACCCCCATCCTCCTCCTCATCCGACTGTGCCAAGGGCGTGTCTGCTCCACCATCACTCGGATTTGGGCTGTGCAGGTTGGTAGAGGAGTCAGAAGATGAGGAAGAGGTCCTGGATGTGGTCCTGTCTGACATGGGCACTGGCAGGCTCAGCTCCTCTGGATGGTCGTCCACCCCTGCCCAGAGAAAAGAGCTGATCAGGGCCAAAAGAGCACTTCAGAGGACTCTTAGAGATTACCCAGCCAGGAGAAACTGAAGCCCAGAGAGGGGCAGGGACTTGTTCAAAGGCGTTTTGCCAGCCCAGCAAAGAGCCAGGATTAAGACCTCCACCTCCTGACTCCCAGCTCCTTCCATGGCACTACACTGTGTCTGTGTCAGGTCAATCGATGCAAGAGTTCAAGTTCTACCTACATCACTTCTTGCTGCTTTGTAGCTTTGAGCAAGTCATTTTCCCTTTCAAGGACTCTGCTCCTCCTCTGTAAAAAAAAAAAAAGGGGGGGGAGTACCTACATTCCCAAAGGGTTTTGAGGACAAAAATCTAAGAATGCTTAGAAAATGTCTGACATAGTAGGCTATCAATAAAGAGTTGCAGTTTTAAATAAGAGAATATCTTACAAGTTAAGTATACGGGTGTTGGAGTCAGACAGACATGATTTGAATCCCAGCGTTTCAATTTTCTGGCTATGTGATTTAAATTCTCTGAGCCTGGCTGTGTGCGGTGGCTCACGCCTGTAATCCTAGCACTCTGGGAGGCCAAGGCGGGAGGATTGCCTGAGCTCGGGAGTTCGAGACCAACCTGAGCAAGAGTGAGACCCCGTCTCTACTATAAATAGAAAGAAATTAGCCAAACAACTAAAAATAGAAAAAATTAGCTGGGCACGGTGGTGCGTGCCTATAGTCCCAGCTACCCAGGAGGCTGAAGCAGGAGGATCGCTTGAGCCCAGGAGTTTGAGGTTGCTGTGAGCTAGGCTGACTCCACGGCACTCTAGCCCAGACAACAGAGTGAGACTCTGTCTCAAAAAAAAAAAAAACAGAAAAAAAAATAAATTCTCTGAGCCTAATTTCCTTCTATATAAAATGGGGATAATATCGCTTGCCCTGAGAGGACATTGTAAGGATTGAGATAATATGTGTAAAGTACTTTAGCACAACATAAGGAACGTAGTAAAGTGATCAATAAGTATTAATATCATTATGATGAATAAAACTACTTAAATTGTAAATTTAAAATATAAAAATTATATTTTTGTATTACTTTAATTATAGTAAGCAAATATATTAATTTCACAAATGTAAAATTTAAAAGGCTAAGGATTAACCATTGCTAGAACTTTGAATTGGGGATCTGTAACCCAGTTTCCCCTCAGGGTCAACTTCCCTAAAATCAGAGCAGGCAGCTGTTTTGTTGGTAGAAACACCCACTTCCAGCCCCTACGTGTATACTTCCCCAGCCCAGCCTTGCAGCCTCATTTCAGAGCCCGAGCATCCGGCTGTGGCTGACTAATGCCCAAGTCCCCAAAGCAGAGGGGCATACCAGACGTCTGGGGAGTTGGTGGAGGATCTTCACAAGGCAAGAACACGTCTGCTCCATCCTGATCCCCAAGGTCAATAAGTTCTACTTGCTCTAGCGTGTCCACGTTCACTTCCATAGACGAGATACTACCTATGGGGGCTACAGATCAAGAAGGGGGCAAGTCAGGAGGACCCAGGCTGGAGCCAACAGAATGGTGACAGTTACCTGTCAGGTCCCAAATGAGGAGTTTAGAAGGCCAAGAAAATAAGAGGGGAGGGGGTCCCCAAGATTCAAGATCCACAAGACATCCTTCCTACCCTACCCTAGTCCCTCGCCTCAGGACTTACGTCTCTGTGACTCGAGATGCAGGTGGGACAGAGGGAAGACAAACTCTGTCTCTGGCTGCAAAATGTCCTCGAAGAATTTCTGCCGCTCCCGAAGGCGGAGCTGCTGGCGCTCCAGGGCTGCCCGAGGATTTGGGTCCATATCAGCTCCTGGAGGGTAAAGAAGGAAGACAAGTACAGCTGTGAAGTCGAGAGAGAAGGTACTGGGGGTCTGGGCATAGGGAGCCCCACTGCAGCCAGCATCCCAGCAGTGGGACCTCTGGTTCCAGCCTGGACACCTCTGGCCTTGGCTACCTCTTTCCCCTTCCCTGAAACCAAGTTCATCCCACAAACTTCAAGTCTCATGCAGAGGCAGGGCTTGCCCTAGCTTCACAAAGGGGATGTCAGTTCCAGGCACTGCAAAAGAGGTCCTCTGTATTCAGGAAACACAGCCTATGGCCAACTTTCAGTGTCGTACCCTTCTAAGAGCGGTTGGAGGGATGGGGCTGGTTCAGCCCAAATGAGGGAGGTACTTTCTCAACTTAATGGACCCAGCTCCCTTCAGAAGGCCAGGGAGGATGATAGGATAGAGATTTTGGAGTGGAGGGTCCTCTTCCTCTAGTGCTGCAACTCTGGTTCCTCCTCATCCTTCAAAACTCAGACAAAAGCTAAAGCAACCCCTCCTCCCTGTCTTTCTCTCTCTGCAAACACCCCCCCCCCATCCCCTTCAACCCCTTGCTCTGAAGTCACAGGCCTAACTTCCAGACTGGGCTCTGCCCCTAAGGAAATCATCTTTCTAGCCTTAGTCCCCCCATCTGAAAATGGCATAATCATCCTACCTACCTCAAACACAAGACGCTGCTTGGGAAGGTGAGCTATTTAGGAGATGACCATCTTTTCCCCGAACTCTCTGAGCTCTTTGTTTCACATCTCACTGTCTTATCTCCCCATTAGTCAGTGAGGAACAATTGGAAGGGCGGGTCCTGGGTCCAATTCAGACCAGATCTCCTGACCTCCAGTGCTGAGAGCTTTCCAGAACACCAGAGCTCTGGGCCACGCCAGGCCCTCTGCTTTCATTCCTATTCGCTCCATCTCCTTCCTGGCATTCTGCTCGGAGCCCATCGCCAGAGGCAGGGGAGTTTCTAGCTTGAGGATCTGGTCGTCATCCTTTGCACACTGCCTTCCCCACCTCATCCGGACTCAGCGCATCCCAGACCCTGGCCAGCCCCAGATGGGGCAGCTGAGCGGGACCCAAACCCGAGTGGGCCAGGCAGGGCCACGAAGTGTGGGGAGACCGTGTGGCCGCGGGCTGGACGTGGAGGAGGGAGGCACTGACGCTGATTCCTGGGAAAGGCTCTCAGAGCTGCCGCCCAGGTCACAACGCTAAAAATACCCAGGGACCTTGGGGCAGTCTGCTCTAGCAGGGGGGTGGGGAAGGGAGATACAGAGGGTGGGGGGAGCCGACGCGGACTAGGGGCTCCGGGACGCCCCCTTTCTTTTCCCCTCCCCCTAGTCCCACCGGTCTACGGAGATTGAAGGGGCTGCCCTCCGGGGGGCCGCGGAGCCGAGCTGGAGCAAGGAAGGGAGTTGTTTACAAGGTTATGGGGTGCTGGGGAGGGGGGCGAAGAGATCTGGGGGCAGGAGGCTGCGAGGGGCCCGGGCAAGAGCCGGTGAAATGGAGAACTCCCTCTCGGTCTCAGCCCCACCCGCACTGGAGCAAGCGAGAGGGAAAGAATTCCCTAAAAAGGGACACGCCGCGTCGGCGGGGGAAGGGAGGAGCGCGGAGAAGGGCGCTCCCCCAGGCCGTTCCCCTCGTGCTCCTGTCCCCTCCGCTGTCCCCCGCGGCACCTGCGCCCACCGTCGCCAGAGCCCCTACCTGCAGCGCCTGGCGCCCCCGCTGACTCAGACTGTCCGCTAAGGCGAGGCGGCGGCGGGGGCGTGGGAGCGAGCCGCGCCGGCCGGGGTGGGGCTGCGCCTCCGGGTCTCCCCCGGGACCGACGGGCCTTGGGAGCCGGGAACGAGGAAGAGGCGGGAGGCGGAAGTGGGGGAGGGGCGGCGGCGGGCACACTCGCCCGCCTCTCGCCCAGCGGCCAAAGGCAGCCCCTGGGAGCGCGACTAGTCGTACTTCCAGGGCGGTCGAAAAGTTCCCCGCACGCATCCTTCCTCCCTCGGAGCGGCCCGACTCCTCGGCACACCACCCTCGCCGCCGACGCCCGTGCGCTGGTCTCCGCACGCTCAGATGCACTTGCTGCGCCCCCGCCCTGCGCAGCCCCGCGGCGGGCACCCGCGCCGGCTCTCCGCCCACGCACACTTGCTGCGCTCAGGGTCTTAGCAGCGCCCACGCGGCGGCTCCGCACCCGCACCCGGACTCCCGGCACCTCGGCCACACTCGCCACGCGTACGCGCGCATACTGCTGGAGAAGGCGCACGCCGGGAACCCGCCGGAGCGTGGCAGGGCACTGACCCGGAGCCGCCCAGCAGGGCAGGTGCACTGCGGTGGAGGACCCCCTGAGCCCGGGACTCACCCGGCTGCCCCTGATTCCTGGCTCCGGGTCTAGGCAGAGCCGCCGCCCACTTTACCAGCGCACTGGGCGGGGTGGGCGCCGAGACCGGGCGGGTCAGGGCCCAAGGGGTGGGCCGCTGCGCCTCGCCCCCAGACGCTGGCAAGGAGCCAGCACCTCAACAGTGCGGAGCGGGGCCCTGCAGGTCCGGCCTGGCGAGGGTGGAGGGGCGAGGAGGAAACTGCAGGCCGAGAGGGGAAACGCTTGCCCCCTTCGCAGCGCCTCCTCGCTCAGGACAATGCTAGAAGTGCCCAATCTAGCAGCTCCCGGACCAAGACTCCGTGCCCATTCTCTTCCTCCTCCCTTCATACCCATCCCCTGGTGGTCATAGCTCAGGAAGCAGCGCGGGGACCGGCGCGAGGGGCGCGGGGTCCGTCTGAGAATGCTTCTGTCGTGGGGGTCACTAGATCATTCAACAAATATCCGTGAGCGAGCCAGGAACTAGGAGTCATCCTTGGCACCTCCCTCTCCCTTGCTGCCCGCATTAAAATACACCTCCATTTCCTGTCGATTCTCTTTCCTAAATATCTTTCCATCCACCATTCCCCTCCGTTTCCACCACGGTCTCTCGCTTGGGCTCCTACCGTAGTAGCCTTCTATTTGATTTTCCTGTACTCACTCTGGCCCGGCTACACTCCATTCCCCACACAGCAGTTAGACGTCTTTTCAGAACCCAAGTCTGATGTGCACCCCCTGCTCGAATCTTCCATTGTTAGAATAAAATCCAGGCGCTGATATCTGAGCTGAGTCTTGAAGAAATGAGTTCAACAAGCAGAGAAGCGGGGAAGGGCACGTGCAGAGGGATGAGGATGTGAAAAGGCATGACACATTCAGGTTTCCCTGCCAGGGAACCAACGCTGTGTACAAATACTTAAAGCACTGGCTCTTACATTATATCTTTGGGATCTCGAAACAACCCTGTCAGATAAATACAGCAAGCAGCTTTCCCACTAGTTCACAAGCCTGGAAACTAGTTTGTGGGAGGCAACAAGTGTGATGGTTAAGAGCACAGGCATTGTAGTGAGACCCTCTTGGGTTGTAAACTTCCTGTTGCCTCTAGCCAGCTGGGTAAACACTTCTCTCATCCTTGATCTCCTTACCTATTATGTAAGAATAATTAATCCCTACCTTTTATGAGGAAATTCATATGAAATGCTTAGTATAGGACTTGGGCACTTTGATATGCTCAATGAACATTAGCTGTTTTGATTGTAATAGGTTCTGAGAAAAGGAGGGAACTGTTTTCTTCCATGAATTTCTGAAATTAAAGGAAGTGAGCCCTGATTGTTACCACTTCTACAGAGCTTATTATGTACCAATCATTCTCTTGCTATTTCCATTTTACAGATACAGAAACTGAGATACAGAGAGGTGAAGGAACAGCCCTATAGCCAGTAAGTGATGGAGCTGGAGTTTGAACCCAGGCAGGCTGCCTCCAGAGACCGTGCTTATAACCACTACTCCCAGCCTGCCCCCTTTTATCCTGTTGTAGTTTTCATGTTCCCAGAAATATTTTAGCCAGTGAGATTCTTATTTCTCATTTATGGATAGAGTAGATACTTCATCCCATTTTCTAGCACAGAAGAATGAGACCAAATCAGGAGTACAGTGGATGAGAGCTCAGCTCCCAAAGTCATCTCCCCCATTTTCAAACATCCCTGGGAATGGGACTCCACAGATTATTTTGAGCTCAAGCTGAAGAAAGATTAGTAGCCTCCTTCCCTTCTTTTCACCAGATATTTGCCACAGAAGGGTGGAGAGGGGGAAACATCCAAGCTGAAAATAATTAGAGCTGCTAAGCTGGAAGGGTGTTACCCAAGAGAAAGACCCAAGCAGCAGGCCAGAAGTGGATGGCCAAAGGAGTTGAAAAGAGCAGTGAAAGAGGAGATGGCTTAAGACTTCTGGCTTCCAACTAAGATGCAGAAATCTAGGAAGAGCATCATTACCACGCTAATAACAATTTTTTTTAAATGTTGGGCAATCTACAAAATCATAACTTTTGTCAAACCCATCAGAGAGCTAAGGTTGCAGAGCAGCCAATTAACCTGAATTCCAAAGGATGGGAACCTCCAAAAAGAGGTGGGATGCAGGCACTGGCTCACTTGTGAAGCAGGAGGGAGACAAGGTCTCCACCCAAATTGGTAAAGAGAGTTCAGCTAAAATTTTTATTGATTGCTAAGGCCCAGCGTGGCTAGTGTGAGAGCAGAGAATCCACAGGAGCCACAGACACTGTAGTAAGCATGGAAACAACAAAACCCAAACCTAATTCAACTCCTGACAAGACTGACTCAATCCTCCACACTCACGGCCTAACAGAAATGTGACAATTTTCAGTCATAAATAATAGGAAACTCAGTCCCTACTGTCCGACGTCCCAAATATCAATCAAAACTTATAATACAGGCCGGGCGAGGTGGCTCACGCCTGTAATCCTAGCTCTCTGGGAGGCTGAGGCGGGCCGATTGTTTGAGCTCAGGAGTTCGAAACCAGCCTGAGCAAGAGCGAGACCCCGTCTCTACTAAA